GTTTAGGGTTTAGAGCGAACCCCAACCCGAAACAATAAACCCGCAGCAGCAAAACACTAGGGGGCCTCGTAGCGACCCTAAGACGCAGCTGTTGCCCAGCATTCGAGGGTTTAGGGTTTAGGGTTTAGGGTTTAGGGTTTAGGGTTTAGGGTTTAGGGTTTATGTTTTTTTTTTTCAGGATGAGCGAGAAGAGTTGTTTTCTATGAACCTCTCAAACATTTCTTCTCTGTTCCTCCACGCGGGTAAGTCCTTGCTTTCTAGGGTTTAGGGTTTAGGGTTTAGGGTTTAGGGTTTAGGGTTTAGGGTTTGGTCACCTCCAGTTTGTTGTGTAAGCGTTGTAGCATCCTCCCCGCATGTACATATTTTGTGTTTTTCGTTTCTATAGAATGGATTGAATCAGACTGGCACTAGGGTTTAGGGTTTAGGGTTTAGGGTTTAGGGTTTAGGGTTTGTGGTGTATAGAGAATGCATACTTCTACGCCCTGGCTCTGTTTATATTCGTTGCTGGGTGGAGGCCAGACCTAAGCGGGGCTCGGCGGCTAGCTCAGCTGCTGACGCGGTTGGTGGTGCAGCCAGGGGGAGTTGCTGCTGCTGCTGCTGCTGCTGCTGGACCGCAGCAGCAGCAGCAGCAGCAGCAGGCTGCAGCAGCAGCTGATGAAACACACCCTTCTGCTGCTGCTGCAGCAACACACATGTCTACACAAGTCGAAAGGCAAAGAGAAGTTTCTGCTGCTCAGCTNGCAGCAGCAGCAGCAGCAGCAGCAGCAGCAGCAGCAGCAGCAGCAGCAGCAGCAGAAGGATTGACGTTGCTATTGCTAAAAGTATAATCCCTTTCCCTATCTATCTGTGTCCCATTCCTCTTCTTCGTTTACAATCTAGGGTTTAGGGTTTAGGGTTTAGGGTTTGTGGTTTGTGGTTTGTGGTTTGTATAGGTTTCCGCGTCTAGCAGCATTGTTCCGCAGCATAACTCGTTCTCTTTTTATTGGGGTGGATATACACCTGGCGCCTGCTGATGCATGCGACCTCTGCGACATAGTGGAGCAGCTGCTGCAGCAGTTTGAGGCGCAGCAGCAGCTGCTGTATGAGCGCCCCATACCCAGAAAAAAAACAGAAACTGCAGCAGCAGCAGCAGCAGCAGCAGCAACAGCTGCTGCTGCTGCTGCTGCGGAGGCGGCAGAAACACAAACGCAAACTGCAGCAGATACAGCAGCGCAGGCAGCAGCAAGGATACGCACGGAAACACTAGGAGGCCCTGCTGCTGCTGCTGCTGCTGCTGCTGCTGCTGCGCACCAGCAGCAGCAGCAGCAGCAGCAGGGTCACTTGCAAGGCTTTGCTGCTTCTCCTCTACATATTCAGCAGCAGCAGCAGCGGCAGCAGTATATGCAGGGGCT